ATATAGTACTCTACAGCGCATGTAAAGTGTCCCCCCCCCCCCCCTCCTGATTCAATTGCATAAAGTTGTATGGTGAGGAGAACTTACTACAATTAAAGTAAAATAGCATTGCTTGCTGCAACAGAACCCTTAGGGGCTTAAGTGTAAATTCCACCAACTCACTAGGTTGCAGTGTGGATCGGGTACCTACGGTAAATAGAGACTGCAAACACACCAGGGAAAGAACTTGAAAAAAGAGGTACCATAATAGATTCCAGTAGCTTGACTGAAAAAATTAAAACTTTGTTGAAACAATACGTAATTAAAAATATACAAATAAATAGTAGATGCAAAATAGCAAATGCTAATTTTGCAGGAACCCGCACCCAACACCAAAAATGACAGTGACAACATTGTCAGTGATAACAACACATTAGTTCAGACTAGAAACTATTGTAAATTGCCACGGTTTCCCTAAACCATAAATATTAGGTGTACTATAATTATCAAATTGGATAAAAATTAGAGAATAGATCTGGGAAATCCACATTAGCAGCATAAATTATCACGAATAATGGTTAAAATAGTAAAAAGAGAAAATATAACAAAGGATTTATTTTTCTCAGCTTTACCAAAGCTCACAAAAATGGTGAAAAACATCTTCAATAAGTTTATATGGTGATTGTTATTTGCCTTTGTTTGGATTTGCTGACATTTTGGTAAAAACTATTCTATTGGGTCCCAGTTTGGTAAAACTTTTCTTGTCTCAGTCCTCAAATTACAAAGTTAAAAAAAAAAAATATGTTTAAATAATTTGCATAAAAAAGAGAGCTTTTAAAGGTTTCAGGGCTCTTGTGGAGCTTTAAAAAAAAAAAAAAAGTTTCTAAGATGGGATTGTCAGAGCAGGGACAAAGAGATTACACCATTACAATTCCTGAGAAACATTAGAAGTACTAAGAATAAATCAGCTCCACAGAGGCCAAGTTTGGGCAGACTGACCCTCTAAATATAATCCTCAGGTGATAAATTATCAAGTATATCAAGCAAGACCTGTCTATGTTGCCCATCAGCAATCATTCAAATTGACACTTTCACTTTTTTACAAGGAGAGGAGAGAAAGCGGCTTCATAGGTCTGGGGATTTGAAATCCCTATGGCTCCCCCTCCTCTCCTTGCAGGGATGACAGTACAGGCTAGACAGCTTCTGATTCCATGTGATGGTGCTGACCAAGTAAAAGTCCTCCAGCCCAAACTGTCATCCCTGTACGAAGAGGAAAGAAAGCCATGGGGATTTCTCTCCTATCCTACAACTGAGAATTTGGAGCATCTGCCACCATTGTATACATCCCCACATGCCCTTCTCTCCCACTTTCTGCTCAACATGGGATTGGTGCATGGAGGTTTCCCGAACCACTCCTAATTGAACTCAAGCTATGACAAGCCCGGGTCCACACAGGAGCAGTGGTTAAACAGCATACGATTTAGACAGGAATTGCATTCCTGTTCAAATCGAAGCTATTGTTTGCGGTGCAATTTGCATTTTGTATTGATGCAAATCACACCGCAAAGTATCGGTTTCCAGTATCAGGAGCATTTTCCCGAGTACAAATACTCGTGCAAATACTCAGCATCGGCACCAATACTGGTATTGGTGCATCCCTAGTCAAAGCATTGCGCTGGCAGTTCCTTAAAAAAAAAAAAAAACAACTCAAATAACCATGTCTTAAAGCATCTCGTTTGGAACAGAAAAGAGCCACACAAAAACGGTTGCCACAAAGTTGGAAATGCATAAATGTCTAAAATATATCTGTATGCTGTAGCATTAACAATACTCTTTACAGGCAGTCCCCGAGTTACGAACATTCGAGTGACTCGTACTTGAAAAATGAGGGAGAAACAGGAAGTGAGAGGAAATCTCCCCCTAAGAAGGGAAAGTGACTCCTGTAAGAGTTATCATGGGAAAAAAAGCTTTTCAAAATCCAGTTGCCACAGGGACAGAAAGTGAGGTGAAATCTTCTGAACGGGGCACAGACAGCAAAACAAACATTACAGGAGTGTTAACCCTTCCATATGCTATCCCAAAAAAAAAAACTTAAAAATATTTTTTCAGCTGGAGTTGCACTTAAGAAAATGTACCTGTTCCAACTTGCATACAAACTCAACTTAACAACAAACCTACAGAACCTATATGGCTTGGAATCCTGTGTCTGCCTGTACTTGAAAATACCCTATGGCAATAATTTGGAGGAGTGCCTACATAATGTCCGTACAGTGTAAGTGTGATAGTAAGGTGTTGTCGACAATATGTACAGTAACCAATAAATGGTTAGATCGAAAATTGGATGGGAGCTGGAGAGACATTCAGTCTCACCTGACCTTCTGTAGTGCCACACCCCTATTTAATCCAAAAAAGCAAAAACCCTAACAGAGAAAAAAAACTAATGGGGCTTTTCAAGGCACCATACCATATGAAAGTATAGAAATGCACAACATGAAAACACTAGATAAAATGGAACATGTTTTATTGTAACATTTATAAAAAAAAACACACAAGTGGTAAGAAAGATGACAGTCAAAATAGGCACAGTAAAGCAACAAAAACACAATGTAGATCTATAAATGGCACCAGTGGGGAAAGGCTCTGACCCTGGACACAAAAGTGTCACCAGCAAGAGTCCAAGAGCCCCACTGATAACATTAAAGACATAGATTGTCAATAGGCAAATGTATTTCCAGAGGATTGAATTAGAAAAATGAAAAATGAATCAAAGAATCTGACGTGTTTCGTGGGATATGACCCACTTCTTAAGGAATTTAGGAAAAACAAAACAGTGTCGATGATGATGCTCTGTACAATAGTAACACCTGATGTAGCTGAAGATCAATGTTGATAGAAAATACAAGAAGAAAGCTTTATTCAGCAGACACCGGGGAGGAAACCACCAGTCCAAGAGTACCTCTGGTCCTATTAGGGAACCATCAATCCAAGAGTACCTCTGGTCAGATAGATAGCAGAAAGCCAACCAATTGTGCAAGGATGCAGCAACCAACTATCCATCAAGATCCAATGATGAAACCCAAGCATGGCCGCATCCGGATAGCAAAAAGACAGAAGTCCCAGAAGTGGACAAAAAAGGGGCAAAACCTGCCCAAACAAAAGCCCCAGTGTAGTCCTGATGGTTCTCCTTGCAGAAATATGTAGTTCTCTCCATAAATGTGGGCTCCTATCAGTTCAATGGAAAAAAAAAATGAAGACAAAGGATGCACAATACCACGTGTTGATTTTCAGTAAGGGATACTAATATGAGCGTTTCAAATCCCAACACCCTCTGCTCTGAGATCCTACAGTCATGATAGCTACATTCAATATTTATTGGTGGGCCTTTTATAATTGCCAACTTTAAAGTTTCACTTATGCCAGTGGATGGAGTGCTGTCTGAAGCATTGCTAATGCTGAGGAAGAATAGATTGAGCAGGTTTAAAATCTTGATTGTTATTGCTCCTACATGCCATAAGAGAAAGCAGCAATCTATCTCACCTGTTCAGCTCCTTCAGCATCCTTCTACTGTATATAGTAGCAAATAGTAACAAACACGTCATTTTTATAAACTAACTTGTCATGCCTGTGTGCCAGGCAGCCAAGACTGATGACCAACAGCAGTTGAATAATACAAGCACATATGACCACCTTGAGAGGTCTATGGTGAACCTTAGACCTTTTTTTATAAAACAGATACAGAGCGGCATTAGGATAAAGCTATAAGAATGGCAAGAATTCCTTCAAAATGGTTGGCAGATATCAGAAAAAAATATTAAAGTCTGTGTACAGAAGCTAGCACCATGTTCGTTTTGGCAATTCATTCACAGGCTAATGAAACAGTCTTTGAAATGAGACTTGGCCACAGAGGGAGAAAAGACAAAACCGACACTTTTCCAGGTACGCAAGGGAAGTTGATTAAAAAAAGAGAGAGAAACAAAATAAATAAAGCAATTTGCCATGAGAAAATTATATTCTGCAAAATGATATCGCTGCTCTGCGGGAAACAAGTCTGTTGTGATTGTTTTATATTCACATCATATTGTAGAGAAAAATGAAAAAGCAGCAATATCGGAACAGTTAAATGTCTAAGCTGCCATACATTGTCAAATATTACAGAGAGACGCTATGAGGTCTTATAGTAAATATGTACACAAAACATGTCCATAGGGCAAGCATCTCCATGTTGTATCCTCTGATGTGGAATGCCCAAGTACCCCTAGACCCAGAGGTCCTCTAATATAGGAAACAGAACTGATAATAGCATTGAGTGACATAAGGAAGCTCAGGTCATTAATTTCATAACAGTACGTCCCAGGTTTTTGGAGATCTTAGATCAGGGGTGTCCGACCTTTTGACTCTCCTGGGCCACACTGGAAGAAGAGGAATTGTCTTGGACCACACACAGAATATACACTAACAATAGGGATAGCTGAGGAACAGAAAAAAAATGGCCAGATCACAAGTTAATGATCACTGATAGAGATAATGTACCTATCTGAGTAATAAAACTTAATTTTTTGTCTTTTATTTTTAATTATAAACTTAAAAGAGGGCAACATAAAACTAGTGTGATATTTGACACTGTTTTTGACAAACTAACGCATCAATATGAGGATTAATAGATGTAGCAGCAATTCCGAATTAATTCTCAAGCTGCTCATCAGATATTTTGGTTCAAATTTTGCTCTTTGTGAGTTTTATCCTTGAAAATGGTTGCTCACAAATATAGGTGCTGCCAAAAACTTAAAACATGAATAAGGCGCGATTGTGAAGAGTGGGATATTTTTCTTTGGAAAGATAAAACTTAAAAAAGGCCAGAAAAGAGACACTGTCCAAATTTCTTTCGCTGCATGTGTTCGCTAAGTGTAAATGCATTAAATAAAAAACAAAAATACCGTATTTTTCGCTCCATAAGACACACTTTTTCCCCCCCCCCCCAAAAAGGGGGGGAAATGTCAGTGCGTCTTATGGAGCGAATATAAAGTGGCTGGTCCGGTATTTCTGCCACCACGTCAGAATATTGGGCCGGCCGCTCAGCTGTTCTCTCCTGCAGGACCTTACCTGTTCCTCGCTCCAGCGCTGCAGTCTTCCCGCGGCGGCTTCTGTGACAGCCGGGTGCTTACTGCGCATGCATGAGAAGCTCTGCATAATCTGAGTCCGGTAATCTCCTTTACGGTCTGCAGTCTCTGGTCATCCCCTGTACTATGTCCGCAGTCTCTGGTCATCCCCTGTACTGTGTCCGCAGTCTCTGGTCATCCCCTGTACTGTGTCCGCAGTCTCTGGTCATCCCCTGTACTGTGTCCGCAGTCTCTGGTCATCCCCTGTACTGTGTCCGCAGTCTCTGGTCATCCCCTGTACTGTGTCCGCAGTCTCTGGTCATCCCCTGTACTGTGTCCGCAGTCTCTGGTCACTGTACTGTGTCCGCAGTCTCTGGTCATCCCTGTACTGTGTCCGCAGTCTCTGGTCATCCCCTGTACTGTGTCCGCAGTCTCTGGTCATCCCCCTGTACTGTGTCCGCAGTCTATGGTCATCTCCTGTACTGTGTCCGCAGTCTCTGGTCATCTCCTGTACTGTGTCCGCAGTCTCTGGTCATCCCCTGTACTGTGTCCGCAGTCTCTGGTCATCCCCTGTACTGTGTCCGCAGTCTCTGGTCATCCCCTGTACTGTGTCCGCAGTCTCTGGTCATCCCCTGTACTGTGTCCGCAGTCTCTGGTCATCTCCTGTACTGTGTCTGCAGTCCATTGGTTCAGAATATTTTTTTTCTTGTTTTTCTCCTCTAAAACCTAGGCGCGTTTTATGGTCAGGTGCGTCTTATGGAGCGAAAAATACGGTAAATAAAAATCAACATTTTAAGTACGTTTACCATTTTGTGTTGGGCTGCATTCATAGCCATCTTGGGCTGCATTATCAGCATTTTGCTGATAGAAAAAAAAAAAAGTACCAATAATGTCATTGATCTTAATGCAAAATCGCATCTGTATCCAATGCAAAATCGCATCCCACCGACGACAATTTATGTGTGTTACCTCAGTACAAGGTATTTTACTTTACTGGATTGTATTTAAAATTCATATTCATTTAAATTCATGATATTCATTAAAAAGTTGAATACAATAATACATTTTTTTTTAAATTGTCTATTTAATTTATTTGGCCAAGTGCATCCTAACATTTTGGTTTTGGTCCAGAATTTTCATTTTGGCGCACCATTAGTTGTTTTACAAGGTGAGGGTTTACATACAATTTAATCATTCCCTAACCTACAAAAAATGAAAAAATTGGTTAACATTTTGAGTCCAATCACACATTTGCCCTGGTGTATTGCTTTTTTGTGCATCATGAAGGGCATTATTATGCACTGCAGTAGGGCAGCCCATTTATTTCCTTATGAATTCATAAACACATACTGCTAATTAAAGACCACAGAAAGATAAAAGCTAAAAAATCCACCTTCATCAGGGCTGCAACCTGCCATGACAAAACTAATGACAAACATTAAAGTTTGTGGTAAACATAAAATATTGCACATAAATAGATCACTGTCACAACTGTGAGCAAAAAAATAAAAATTTACAGAATAGAATATATACTAAGTATGTATAAATATATACACACACACTGTATACACAGTATGTTGGCATTAAGTTCAAAATGATAATTTATTTGATGTAAAATTATTGTCAGTGGTGTTGTTTCAGTCCTGATGCTAGGGGGTTGTTTGGCCCCCAAAACACGTTGGCTACCTATCTACCTGTGGTCTCAATTTAATGAGCAATAAATGTTTATGAGATTATAAAATGACTGGCTGGTGCCATTGTGTCAATCTCGCATGCATTGCTCAGCTTTTCACATTTTCTTCTTTTTCGAAAAAACCCACTTTGTAGTAGAGCTGCCAAAGTTCAGTCACCAAATCCCTATTAATTTTCCACTTTCTACAAAACAAAAGATCTGAGTCCAGCATTCTCAAATTCACTTCTTCTGGACATCTTTTTAAATGGACTGTTAGTGAACTAGGCTATTCAGAATACAATAGTCGGCACTGGATTTATCCATCCATGCTGTTTAATGTGGATGAAGGAATTGAGTGACTATTTCAGCCGGCAGAGTTGAATAAAACATGCATCAATGGCTTTTGGGTGTGCTATCTTGAAGTGGTGTATGGACAACATTACAAATCTTTTGACATATAAGGCACTTCAGATATGTATGTGTCTTTTAACATTTAGCTGTTTGGGAGTTCAGCTTTAAATGTACTGTAAGCAATATTGCTGCAAAGTCACTTTCTTCCCTGCTTCTGAGAGGCTTGATCACAGATGCATGAACCCATATTAACTCCCCCACTCACAGACCCATCATCAGATGCTAATAACCTCTCGGTTATCTTCCTTTGCATAAGTAGTAACGAGGGATATTAAGTTTACACGCTTAATAATACAGTAACCTTAGTAACAGATAGTGTTTAACATTTCAGAAAGGGCGTTGCGTCCATCTTGTAATCCTCTCTGCTCCTGAAATACTGAAATGGAGAAGGCTGAGGTTCTACTGGGAATAGACTGTAGAGTACATGGCTTTGTCATGATTAGGATTGTGGTACGCGGAGGATCACATATGAAACATGGAGCCTTCCTAAGCAATTACATGTCTTCATCGGTTTTATAACATTTGACAGTTCCCCATAGAAACACTTGCTAAACCACTTTAGAAGCGTAGGCCCTGCTTCGTAAAGCTTGCGTCAGGCTGCAACGCTGCTGGATCCCACCAGGACACCAACAAAATCAGCAGCATGCTGGCTATACTTAGCCCAGGCAGTAAGAGAGCCAGGGTACCGCAGAACCAGTTATTTGTACAAACAGTAGACTATGGGAAAAATACAGAAGGAGTCATGATGGTTCATTGGTTTTATTTTCCCGCAGGATAATCTTGGATGCAACTGCTTCTTCTACCGAACCGTAGTAAAATCTGTTAAATGATTGTTCAGAAGAACCAGTGATGTTAACCATGTGGCTGTAGGGATGCTATGTGCAAAGCCTGCAATCTAGAGTAACCAGATTCCCCTTATTACCTTGGATATCATATTTGTGTCCCATTTCTGCCTATATTTTGGCCACCACAGATTTCCTTTAATTGTATTTCTTATACAAGTAGAATGAGCCCTGTAATTCAGTCTTTATATTAGATTTCTTCAGGGAAGTATGTAGTAGAGCAATGCCTAAGAGAGAAAGCTCTGTACACCAAACAGGATTTACTGTCAGTCTAACACTGGAAGCTGGAAGACATGAGGAGAGAAGACTGCACAGAGTGAGGACTTGATAAATGTGTTGATACCATCCCAATGTTCACAATGAGTACAAACAGAAATAAAGCACTTTTATTACATAAGAATATGGAAGCATAAGAAACTGAGTTTGGTTTACGTTTCAGGTTCCTATTGGAGAAATTTCCCCCATACTTTCTGTCCTATTGACTATTGTTGCCAAGACCAGAAGTGAGAAGAAAACACAAGTGTTAAAATTAAAAAAGAAAAAACCAGACAGCAAAAAAAAAAAAAAAGTTTTTGACAAGCCCCCCTCCCCCCTCAAAAAATACATGCCCTCAGAAGTAGATTCAACGTCAATCATGATGAATGCCAACCTGCACAAAAAAAAAAATTCCACCTGCCAAACAGGAGAACATGATGTGACAACCCCTCCATGTCTTCCCGTCATTGGGCGAGTGTCTGTCCATGGAACATGTCACTCGCCAAATGACCATGGTGGCGGGGTCACCCGATGCCTGTAATTCAGCAAATGACTTGTCCCCTGGAGAAACACTTGCCCAATGACAGGTAGAAATGGGGGCGGGATCTGTTAAAAAAAAAAAAATTTAACCAGATGAGTTATAGTTGTTAAGGATGTGGCAGCCATCCTCACCGTTATTGAGAAGAGACGGCCAACCGATCCTTCTCAATAAATCCAAATTAATTCAAAAATTGCATTATAACCTTTTTTTCAGATTCGTTCAGATTTGTTACTATGTCCATTTGGAAATTCAGATACATCCAAATCTCCAAAAACTAAATTTTCATCCAAAAAATGAATCTGAACAAACCAAATAGTATACATCTTGGCAACATTCAAAACAAAACTATGGGCTCAAGTAAGTAAAACTGCAAACTGCCCTTTTCAAGTACCCTAGACCTAAACAAGCATTTAACCCCGGCAGTGCAGGGGCAGCACCACTGCAAGGGAGGATTTTTCTTTTCCCAACTTTGAGAAGCAGCTCAGCTATATATGAAAGTTCGTAGTCACTCACATCATCTCTCAAAAGAATGCTCCAAAAGGACATTAGTAACTGTCCTACCAGATTTTGACAACTAAGTACATCCTGTGATAGGTCTGTGTCTTCACTCTGCCTTTAGGATTCTGGTCTCCAGGATACAGGAACACTATAGCGCAACAGATAAATGCCCCCTATTGTCCTCTAATAGTTACAGGCACAATATGTTGGTTTTATATAATTTGAACTCTGCCACTGATACAGGGTGGGTGTAGAACTTTGTATGGTGGGTAGCAGGGCGCGTCGGATGATGCTGTGGAAGTGTGGCAGCTGATGATGGATGGTGTGTAGGGAAACCGGTACTGAGCAGAACGTCTAAAGAGTGGAGACAAACTCTGTGCAGAAGAAGGTAAAACAGGAAGGCGCTTCTAAGTGCTGTATTCCAGGTCAACTTTAATAAAAAGCGGTTTAAAACACTTACAATGTGGTAGTACAAAACAGGCTCTAATGTAATCCGTCAGTAACAGGGCTCTGTCCTCTAAGTGATGGAGCCGCTGTGCCAGCCAGCAGCTGCAGGGGGGAGCATTATGAGAAATGTTAAAGATGGCCGCCGCTCTGTTTGGACCAATGAAGCACACGCTGGAATGCACGCTGTCCGCGGACCGGAAATGATGTGAGCATGGAGTGGTGACGCGTTTTGGAGCATGAGCAGAGCTCCTTCTTCAAGACCAATGCATTTTCGTGCACATTCACAAAGCCTATGAAAAATGCACTTTGCACTTTCAGTGGTATTAATTATTAAAGTGACCCCCAAATGCAGCCACCAGCAATACATTTTCATGGGTAACAAATGCACCACAACGCACAGTAAAAATCAAAAAGGTGCAGAAACTTCTTTAGCTATCACACGTAGGGCAGCCTATTCAAATGAATGGGTTGCCCTATACATGTCATGTGTCGCACTTACAGTGCCATTAATTGTTAACATTAACCCAAATGCGGACAGCAGAAACACGTTTTTCTGTGCAACATATGCCAAAACACACGGTAAAACAAATGAGAAGCTCAATGCCCAAAAAGGAGCAGGAGCTTCTTTGGCATGTTTGTAGTGCATAGGGCAGCCCATTAAAATAAATGGGCTGCCTTATGTGTATCATGTGAAAAAACAAATGATCATGTGACATGGAGGTGTAAATGGGACCTAACGGCCTATCCCCAAGCATGAATGCCACCACATGAAGCGGGGAAGAAAACCCTTAGGGATTGTGTAGACTCAAACCAGATTAACTTGAAATTGCAAATTAATAAAATA